CGGTTGTTGAGAAGTGGGCTTGAGTGATTCATTGTGAGGTTGCCGACATCATTCCGTTAACGCCATCGGCGGTCGGTGGACTGATTGATGGCCATCAACCTTACCAGAATTCTCAACGAGCTGGCTCGCGATGTCATGACTCAGGCCCGTACACGCCCATTTCCCGCCCCTTTCCACTGTTTGTCGCAGTTTCTGTAGTGATTCAAGCCAAGGACCTCGACGAAGCCTTTATGCTCGTTCGCATGCAGGGCGAGCCATTTCCCACATCCCGACAGAGGACTATATTACCCTCCACGCGACTTTTCTTCATTTTCTCTTGTTGTGCCTTTTGTTTTCGGCGATTGGACCGGGAAGCTTCTTCCTGTCCTTGACTTCAAGGAAGAGGATTGCTTTGTCACGCGGCCGATTTGGCCGCCGACGGTAGTGGTGCCTCGGCCGCATTCCGGCTTGCTCGGTCTCTCTGTTACATTATGTTCCTGTAACAAGCTTGTCAGATTGTTCGCACTTCTCACGCATTAACCACCGAACCCAGCCACATCCTTGTCGTGTGTTTCTCTCACGAATGCGAATTGCGCTGCGACGTGTTGTGAATGTTTCCAGCCTCAGGCCAATCTTACCCAATCAGGAAGAGGTCTCCCTTGCAAAGTGTGCCTTCCTTAGCAGAGATTCGCGCAACAGAAACTCAACCAAAGAAATTCTCCAGCTCGCCATCCCTTCCGTCCAAGTTATGAACCTGCCTTTGTCAAGTACCTGCCAGGCTCCAACCTGGAATTCATGATTAGTACCGAGGCAAACAGCTTTACGCGCGCATCATTGAGGGGGGTTTACAATTTAGAAGAACGGCTTTTGTTAGTACTCCATCAGGATGGATTGATTTTTGTCTCTGGGAACAAGGAGTTTTTATTAGTTTCTGAGGCCCTCTAAATCTGCGATTTCGGAGTCCCATGGCTTTGGAAGCCAAAGCTTTCCCANNTGGCTTCCAAAGCTTGTTGTCCTTTTCCAAGCCTCTAAAGGCACGACCAAACGACCCGCCCCGGGAGGAGGTTTATAATTGAGGGGGGTTTAGAATTTAGAAGAACGGCTTTTGTTAGTACTCCATCAGGATGGATTGATTTTTGGCTCCGGATAAGGAGGAATTTTATTAAGGAAGGCATGGTTTCTGAAGCCCTCCAAATTTGCGGTTTCGGAGTCGTAGTAGCTGCAGTTTCCCTCTCTCTTCAGACCTGAAGCCGTCGTAGTAGCTACAGTTTCTCTGTTTCCAGACCTGAAACCATCGTAGTAGCTACAGTTTCTCTGTCTCCAGACCTGAAGCCGTCGTGGTAGCTACAGTTTTTCTGTCTCTGCAGACCTGAAGCCGTCGTGGTAGCTACAGTTTTTCTGTCTCTGCAGACCTGAAGCCATCGTAGTAGCTACAGTTTGTCTGTTTCCGCTACCTTTCACACATCACACAACTACACGCCAGCTCTTTTTTTTGGTTTTCGGCTAAGGGTTTTGTAGTTGAGAAGGGTTTGTAATGGAGTTCCGGGGGTGAGGTTTTATCATTGAGGGGGGATTATAAATCATAGGTCAACATTAGGGTTTAAGGGACTTAGGGTTTTTGGGGTTTAGGGCTTCAGGGTTTTGGGGTTTAGGGTGTTTAGAGCTTTAGGGTTTAGGGCAGTAGGGTTTCGGGTGTAGGGTTTAGGGTCCATATATGCTAGCATGATGGAATTAGATGCCAAAAGACCATCATTATTCTTGTTTTCGTGACCTATTTCCATAATGAGGGTCCATGCCGACATCCCGATACAAGGCCCTGTGTACGGTCCCGTCAGGAAGTTCAAAACCCTGCTTTCATTAAGGGTTCAAGCCCTAAGCCCTAAACCCTTGAACCCTATCATAAATTAACGGCTCTACAAGTTTGGGTTTAGGGTTTCCGAACACAGGGAGCCCAAAGCTGTCTTGGCATAATTTTCCTTTTTGGTGAGTTATGTAGGGTTTGAGTACCGCGACCCCACAACCAACGGGTCCTTTGGGTACGTAGTACCGAGGCAGTACGTCAGAGTTGCTTTGTGGTTTAGGTTTCGGGTTGCAGGGTTTAGGGTTCAGGGTTGCGGGTTGAACATCGGTCAACCCTTAAACCCACAACCAGAAACTCTAAACCCGAAACCTTAGGGGCACTTTGAAATAATTTTGTAATCTTTGGTTACTCTCATCCGTCAGAACATCTAGACTAACAAGTTTTGAATTGGTCATAAGTTCACTATATAGAAACACTAAACCAAGACCGGACCTATCGAGGAGACGGCTTGATCAAGTTTTCAGGATGGAGAGTGTTGGGTTGACAGCAGAGCACCCATGCTCGAGGCCTCAAACTCCCACCAAACTTTATAAACCCTGTAAGTCTTACCTGGGAATCGTTTTAGGGGCTATACCCTATGACTACGGGGTCATACCCTACCATTTTGTCAGGTTTGGGTCATCATCACACCCACCGCATTCGTGTTCATGTGAGACGAACACAACGTAGCGCAGCACCACTTCTGGATACTGACCGACAAGCGTCAAAAGCTTGCGACCCCTGCTCAGTCTTTTACTGAGAAAAGAAGGTTTGGGGATACTTGTAATCCCTCCTAAACTACTTATTGCAGAAGCCCTAAGTTTCCCTAAACCCTGGACCCCCCGTTAGGGTCTCCATTGTAGTTTTTTTTTCGGTTGGACCAACTTTATATTTCTACTATATTATAACAAGGTAACCCAAAAAAGGAACTACAATGGAGACTATAGGTAGGCCCTATTCAATCCCCAGACCATGGGGATTACAGCCAAGCCTTTGGGTTTGGCCGCGTTTTTGAAAAAAAAACCTGATACATTCATGTTTGGTCTGGGGCCTGGTACAAGAACGGAAATCACGTAGTGAACAGAATCATCTAGAATCTGACCACTGCAAAGCAACACATGCACCAATAACGAATGAAATCCGAAACCCTAAATCCTACAGCCTAAGCCGGGATTGGGGTTTAGGCTCTTTGAAAGTATCAGTTTGAAGGCTCAGGGCTGAAAGGATTCAGGGTTACTGGCTTCCTCTTGGAAGTTCGGATGTTAGGAATTCGGGTTTAGGGTTGAGAGACAACGACAAAAGTTTGGTCGTGGTGGTGGTTGCAGTTGGACTTTAGTAGTAAGGGTTCTTGGCCCGGAGAGGTGTTGTCCGCAGTACGCTTTTCAGGCTTTGAGGGCTTGCTTCAGGACGGCCAAGGAAGAGGGATTCTAGTGGTTTCTTTCGAGAGGAGGGAAGCGAGAAGTCATTCGATGTGGAAATGTCGGCGACACACCCTCTGTCGCCAAGGCCATGGTGTCAACAGAACTCAGCAGATGCCCTGAGGTCCTTCTGCACAGCACGGGTTCTTGCGATCACCCACTAGCAAGTTTGGATCTTGGTGCCCGGTCTGCTAAACCCGCACGGCAGCGCAGTCTGACGGTTGTGTTTGTTCGCTGCGCCTCGCGGCTACTATATTTTGGGCTAGGCTTAAGAAATCTTCGTTGTACACGTAGCTGCATCAGCATCTTCGGGCGCAACAGGGATCGCAATTCAACAGATTTTCCGACTAAAGTTCGACGTTGCGGAAACGCGTTCTGATGACAACAGCTTCAATGAAAACACTGGCCGAAAAAGGTCAGAACTTGACGGTCTACCATCACAAACGTTTCACTAGCCCCAATCAAGGTTTGAATGTGCAGCGTCTCCGAGCATGGAATTCCAAACTCGCAACACCGTGCGGCCGATGCAGCTCGTAGGCTTATACGGCAGAGGTTCCAAAGTGTGAAACGGTTACGACGGAGATGGTCCAGCTCATTGACATGCATTCTTTATGCCCGCTTAGTCTTGGGTGGAACGGGATTGCCGTCGTGGGCCGATGCAACACAAAATCATAGCCAGAATCGATGTGTTTTTGTTCGGTTCCCGCGTGCATTAGCAGGATAGCGCCCTGAATCTGCGAGGTCCTGGTATATTGGAAACCGCACAAAGATCAAGCGCCTGAGGTGGACACCCCGTTCCTGCTAGTAGCTGCAAACCGTACGACATCGGCAACTTACGTTCAACATCGCCCTGTAGAGATGCCAGTAAACGTGCTATGACCGGTCTCTTTGGGTCCAGGAAGTGTGCAGCAATGTTCCGAATGACAGCTATTGTCTAAAGAGTGCTGGAGTCTGAATTCGTAGCCGAAGCGCTTAGGAACCTTCACGTAATCCTTGGCACTGCAGCCCCGCTCGTTGCAAAAACCCAAAGCAGTGTCCATCCACCCATAATCTTCCGAACTGTCGAGCCGATCCTTGCCCAAAGCCCTTCGAAGGCAAAAGACCCAACGGCAAGTTCGGTGGCCACTGTGCCCGCGGAGGTGTCTGGTGGTCCTTACGTTTGGGATGAAGATGTTGCCAAACACGAAACAATTTGCATGTTCGAGCTTCACTGCAGAATTGCAAAGGATCTTCAAGCCAAGTGCAATGTGCTTAGTGTGTTTAGGATTTGTAAGTTTGAATGGATTTGGTTTCTGTTTGTTGTGACAGCAATATGTCTATCTTGTCGATGCGGTCCGCAGCCAGCTCCTGTCAACTGCAGCCAAATCCGTGGTATGTCCTGTTCAAGGCCCAGCAGTCCCAAAATCTGACTAACTTGCACGCGCAATGGATTGCAAGCTGGAAGAGCCTGCTTACCTTGCTTCACTGGTCCTTGAACATCGATCCAACTTTCAGGTGCTCTTGAATCCTGGTGGACCCGGGAAGGCTCCTAAACTTGACAACATTCACCCCTAGCAGCCAAAAGCCCGGTTCGGGGCCGAAACAGCTCGGAAATATTGGGTTATTTACAACACTGTTGCCGATGTTCGACTTTTCCAGAAATGGCAGATTCAGAAAGCAAGGGACATCACGCATTGCATGCGAGCCCCAAATCGTAGTATCATCCGTGCAAGGACCTATAAATAGGTACCCAAAACTTCTACTAATCCGTACATCTTCGGAAGGCCCGGGAACCGCCACCAAGTTGTGCTGGGACTTGGCCCACGGAGGTCACCGAAGTGCTTTATTTTTTGAAGATTGTGGGGCTCCCCTTCTTCCTAAATCGTAAAAACAATTAAGTCTGAGGGCCTAAGCTTTCGGAGGTCGGGTTCAGGATTCTTTAAGATTTGTTACTTGGAAGTCGAGGGTTTAGGGTTAGGGTTGGAGGTTGGCAGTTTAGTTTTGTTTGCTTCGGGGTTCTTATCGGCTTCAAGATGTTGCGTTGGAGTTTCTACAAAGGTCCAGGGCGTAAGAGGCCTCGTGAATGAAGCTGAGCCGGGAAGGATAGCTAAACCTCTAATCCTGAAGTCCGCAAACCTCAAGCCCTCTGAAGGGTCGTGGTTGCAAGGCCGTGGAAGTCCCGGCTGTGGTAGAAGCTGTGCCGCCGGGTCGCGCCATATGCTAGGTGATAGCAAGGGTGTTAATAGGCATGTCATGGGGTTTCACTCGTATGAAGGTTCCTTTTCCTGGGGGCTGCTTCGTTTTTTAGCAGAGCTATTCTCTTCGTGGTAGCTTTCAATTATACGGCTCGATTCATGGTAGTTTTCCTGATGCGACTCATTTGGTGTGTGTGTGTGTGTGTGTCTGTGTTTTTGTTGGTTCGTGGTCTTTTCTACTAAATTTAAGCCCTCTGATCAGAGATCGCTAAAAGATTTTCTGAGGGAGTAAAGTTTAGGGTTTACCAGGAGCCTGCGGCCAATGAGCAAAAAATGTGCGGTGGCTTGTGGTCTTGGTCTCTGGTTTAAGGTTTGGGTTTGAAGGTTCATACAAGGTTTAGAGGTTTAGGCTTAGGGATTATGGTTTAAGCTTGGTATGGGGCTTAGAGTTTAGGGTTTATGGTTCAAGGCTTCGGTCTTTAGGTCCATACCTGGTGTTTCGTGGACCCCGCCTCTGCTGACCGCCCACATTTCAACCTTGTCGGGTTTACGGCTTTAGCTATTGTTGTCTGCTTTTGGGACCTGAATTTTTCCTCAGTCCGATAAGCGAGAACTACCTGGACCCTCTAAAACCTACGTTGTTGGTGGATCCATATATTATATTTTCCTTATATCCTTATAAAGTTAAGTTATTCGGGGTCAAGGTAAGCCCCAAACTTTTCTGCTTCCTTCGGAGACCTTCCACGCAAATCAGAACTTCTGCTTCGGGCTCTGATTGGCTGCGGTTTGGGGCTTTTTGGGGCCGCAGGTGGGGTTAGGGTTTGGTCGGTTTCGACTCTTTGCCGTTGCTCTTTGGTTTGGCCGTTGGGCTCTGGCTCCGACCCCATGCAAACCCTCCACTGTGAAGCTCTCGCTCTTTGCCTGTGGCTAAACTCTAAAACTCTTGCGCTTTGGTTGGGGCTAGCTCTGGCCCCAAAACCTTGAACTCTAAGCCGTATAAACCCGCAATCTATGGCTCTTGGGTTTGCAGTTCGGGCTATTGGGATTTGAGCCAAGGCCATGCAGTTGCAGTAAACCCCGTGATTTCTGGGCTCTGTCTGCACTTCGCTCGTACAGCTCTAGCGGTTTGGGTGCTTAGGGAACCCGTGACCAAATAAAAAAGCTTGAACCCTAAACCCTAAGCCCAAGACCCTAAACCCTCAAATCCTAGACCTTGACCCCTAAACCCAGACCGTAAACCTCGAAACCCAAAAGCCAAAACCTCGAGACCCTGAACCCTGCACTCACAACCCTTATGGGGCTCTCTACAGGATCTGCTGCGGAAAAAGGCCCTCAACAAACAACATAAACTCACGATCCTCGATCTTGTTAAGCGTTTAGCGTTTGGGGGTTTAGGGTTTAAGGGTTTTTAGTATTTAGGGTTTAAGCCTGTGGTTCTGAATCTCCTAGGCGCGATGCAGACCTCCCCGATTTGGCACCGACGATGCCAGCAACCGTGGCTGAGTCTCAGATGGTGCCCCCGACATATAGTAGGGTTCAGGGTATGAGGTTTAGGGTTTAGGGTAGTTGCCGATACAATTATGATGATGATGATGGTGATGGTTTCAACGATTATCGTCGTTAGCAGTATTCGTACTGGATTTATAGCAGAAGAAGAACTGCGACTACGGACGGCGACAGCGACATGCGACATTAGTTGCACAATCATCACGACCACTATTACGAACAACTGTTTTCCGATAACTGATTTGGCAGCTGTGTAAACCTCCTCCTCCTCCTCCTCTTCCACTTCCTCCTCCTCTTATCCTGCAGCTGCCGCTGACGTTGCTGCGGGTACTGCTCTCGTGCGGCACTTTGGCTGAGAGCATTGGTCAGGATATCAGAAAACCGGTGACCGTGATACTACTAACTGAATTAGCACGTCGTCGTCCTCCTCCTCCCCCCCCCTAATAGCCTTAGAGAGCCGGGCTTGGGATGGTTCAAAACAAAGACAAGCAACAACTTGAATGTCAAAGAAGGTACAGTACCGGAACTCAACCCTAAACCTGAGATTGACCCTAAACCCTGGACCCTAACCCCTAAGCCCTAAACCTGAAACCTGACCCCTAAACCCTAACGCCTAACCCCTAAACCCTAACACCTAACCCCTGAACCCCTAAACCCTAACCCTGAATTGAAGGTACCGGAGCCGGAGCATGGAGATTCGATGCCCCACGGTTCCAAAGTCGAGCCGGTGGCTTCCACCCATGTTCCGAGCCGCTGGGTTGCCTGGGTTTCAAGAGGGGTCTAGGTTGGGGTTTTAGAGTTTGGGGCAGGGGTCTATGGGTTTTAGAGTTTGGGGCAGGGGTCTATGTTGGGTTTTAGACTTTAGGGCAGGGGTCTATGTTGGGTTTTAGACTTTAGGGCAGGGGTCTATGTTGGGTTTGAGACTTTAGGGCAGGGGTGGCCTATGTTGGGTCTCCGGGTTTTGGGTTTATAGGGTGTGGGGTGTAGGTTCTAAGTAAGTGAGCTTCAACCGTTTTGGAGTGTTTGAATTCAATAAAGTCCCAAAGGATAGCCTTAGTTCTCCCAGGAATCCGCACCGATCCCAGAAGTTGACCGGCCATTGGCATGTTATGCATCCCCGAAAGTCCTGAACCCTAAACCCTAAACCCTAAACCCTAAACTGTGCTAAACCCTCAAGTCCGAAGCCTGACCCCCCTAACGCCTAAAACCCTAAACCTTCATTCCCGAAATCCTCAACCTTCATGATTCCTTCAACCCTAAACTCTTAAACCACTGTAAGCCTTAAACCCTTAAACCCCTAAACGCCAAAGAAGCCCTAAACCCATATGCCCTAAACCCCCAAACCCATGAACTCAAACCCGCTGAACCTTAGATCCTGAATCCGGGGCGATGAGGTCAAGATCTCCGCCAGGAGGCGCCCTTGGAGGTCCAGGAAGCAGGACATCAGAGTCTCGACTCAGTCTAGAACTGTTTCTAAGGACTCAGGTTTAGGGCTGTTTATGGTCTTCAGGTCGCGTACTACCAGGATGCTCGCTAGGTTCTTCCAAAGTTCAATAGTTAAGTAGTAGGACAGGTAACCTTTGTTCATCTTTGTTCTGTTTGGGCTACTATAAACCCCATATAATCCCAAAGATTAACCTGCAGCTGCCCTTAGGATACTGGACAAGTAGGATATGGTTCTAAAGTACTCAGCTAAAAGGCCCACAAGTAGGCTATACCGTAACCCTGACTGCCAAGACCTTCCAATGTCCCTTAATTGAGGAATAGACCGTAAGCCGTATCAGGGATCCTGCTATATGTTAGAGCATATATTCCCTAACTAAGGGATATGGAAAGGTCTGGGTGCATTGGCTTGAGGCTTTTTAGGGTTTAGGGATTTAGGGTTAGGGTTTATGGTCCATATATGCTGAAGCACGAAGGGGCAATTTCGTCGATGCGCCTACCTCAAAGTGCTTCGGATTTTCTTGAGCTTGGTTTCCGGCTAGCCGGCTCTATGCACTGCTATACTGCAATGCTACAGAGTGTAACGCCTCAGATGGAAGCTGGCTTAGAAATCCAGAAAATTTTAACTTTTTTCGCAAGCCCTTCTTCACAGCCTCAGCCCTGAAGCTCGAGCCGTGTAAGCCGCCCGCCTACTCCCAGACCCCGAAAGCATTCTGTGTGAGGCAGCCCACAGACGAGCCAGCCGTCAGTGGGCCTGGCGGGGAAGTGGCACAGAAAACCGAGGCTTGTGCGGATGAGCCATCTAAGTGCTGTATATTGGCTGTACTACAAGATAAGGGTTTCATATCGGGTGTACTTGTCTTATCGGGGTTAGTGTGCAGGTCGACCGCTTTAAGGGGTTTAGGGCATCCCCAAACTTATCATCGCAACAATAGTAGGGTCATTCATATAGAATAACAGAAACTTCCCCCCCCCCCAAAAAAAATAAAAAGAAACAAAACAACAGACAGTCAGGCCGAATGGGATGCTTACTTTGAGAAGGGCCAGTCATGCACGCTGGATTCGAGGGATAGGCCAAGCTCGAGGGAGGTGGGGGCTGTGACGATTCGGGGTTTGAGTAGCTTGTTGAATAGGGTTTAGGGTTGTTTAAAACTTAATAACCCTACTAAGCCCTATATCCCTAAACGCTGATTTAATTAAGGTCTCCGGGATGTCTGAGGTTTAGAGTTGGAGTTGGTACAGTGGGAGCTCCGGCGGGCAGGAAGGAGTCTCTGCACTGCCGTAGAGCAGGTGTCTGAGACTTTGCGACCTTAAACTGTTCTATGGAGCCCTAAACTGTAGACTCTAGAGTTTAGAGTCCTGATATAGGGGGCTCAACAATTGCCTACACTATTGTGGGGTTCCTTGTGTGCTATATACCCCAATACCCTGTTCTGATTATCAAGACCCCTATATTACTTCAGCAGCTTTCCTTGTGATATCGCCCCAGGGCAGCAACGGCAGCGACTGCTCGCATAGTCTGTTCTGTGGCTACCTACTCGGTAGAGCCCACAAGTCCACTCATGTGTCACTGTTTCGAGCTTTGGTAAGATGTAGGCACCAGATCGTCGGTAAAGCAGGTCCCAGATATGATCAAGGCCCCCCAGACCAGCATGGTCAGGTACCACGAAGCATCCAAAACTACAGTCATGCAAGAACTTGGAGGGTCATGGGGCTTGGCAAGTAATGTTATGCGTGCCGTAATTGAGATTGTAAGCCACCTTACCCATAGCCCCAGTTACTGCGTCCCATGATCCATAGGTGTTGAATCTGAACTCACAGCAGCCGAACGGCGAAACAGATTCGAGTAATGAGTTGTCAGAAGCATCATGCGGGCTTGGAGGCATCCACAGCACTCCCCAGGGCGACTGCAGAGGAGCCCCGAACAAATAAGGGTGATTGAGGCTCAGGGTTTAAGCCGGAGGAATTGCATGGGCTCAAGGTTTAGAACTTAGGGTATGAAATCCAAAGCATTGGAAGCAACAGCCGCTGCCCCTTGAATGCATATCTGAGTTGTCTTCCGGTGTCCACGATTGCAAAATCAGCTAAATTAGGGTCCCTTTCAGGTTCCTTTTTGTAAGAATGCCGTACTATTTAAGGGATCTAAGAAGGGACCCTAATTCAGAGAACTACCGACATACTTTTGGGGTCCAGGTAGCCCTGGGCCTTCAACCTAAGAGACTCCTGGCAGGCCGAAAAGAGGCGACAATCAGCGCTTCAGGGTTTTGGAGGCTTTGGGACTATGGACTAGGGATTAGGGTGTAGGGATTAGGGATTATAGGGATTAGGGAATAGGGTTCAGGGTTTAGGGTGTAGTGTTCAGGGTTTCGGAGGCTTTGGAGGTTTGAGGCTTGGACGGAGAGCCCGTGGTGGAGAATCCGGAGTTGAACTACAAGGTTTGCAGATGCTGACACTTAAGGGGACCAGAAGGGGATACTCGGGTTTAGAGTTTAGGGCTTGGGGGATACTCTAAGCCGTCCAAGCCAATATTCAGACCCTTAGATTACCGATAGTCTCCATTGTGGTTCCTTTGGGGGGGTTACCTTATAGGACCCTGAACATAAAGCTGGCTCAACCAAAAATCGGAACTACAATGGATACTATGGGTAGGTTCCTCCTGCTTACTTTCTCGCGAAAGCACTTCTGCAGGACCGCCAACCGCCGGTGACGCACCTTGCCTGTGGGAAGTCTTCTTATCGTCCATCAGACGATGTTTCAGGGCCTAGGAGTCCAGGGCTTATAACTGTAATTAGGGCTTCAGGTCTTCGGGTTTGGGGCATTAGGCTGTAATGCGGCTCTGCCCCAGTCGAGGCAGGCAAGCTGCCCATGAACAGATACTCCCCTTCTGGAAAATCACCAACAATGGGCCTACAAGCACAGCGTTGTTTTTGTAGTTCTATCTAGTTCTGATGGTTGCTGTCAGTTGAACTGGGCGAACTATTCATTTGGAGCCTCGACCTACACTCCCAGACGCTACTGTGAGCCCTAAGCCCTATAAGCTGCAAGCCCTAAGTCCATTTTTCTAAATCCTGAACACTCTAGTGCAGGGTGCACCAGAGCGAGCTAAGGGTTTTAGTGTTCAGGTTTGAATGCTTAGTCATGATGCCCGCTTGTAGGCCAGCTACACTAAAACACACCCAGACACGCGATTCTAACTAGAAAGGTCCGTACAATACTACCAGATCGCATACCCCATACCCGATCTCTTGAAAATCGCCACCCGAATCAGGTGGTACAGCTTAGGAGCAGCGAAGGGTTTTCGGACTCTTAGTCTTAACTGTATGACTGTCAATACAAGGTGTTCCCATGAGTTTGAACAGACAAAGGCACTAAAACCCTGATAGACTCATAAACCCTGAGCCTGTTTAGCCTTAATTTGTGAGTCTAGCACGGCAAAATTGATCCTGTTTTAAATATTGAATGCAGAGCCCCGATTGGTAAACCCTCCCTTCTTTTAGGATACGTATTCTAATACAATACGAATATAGTAGACTATACTATGATGTTTGGGGTTCCTTGGCTGCATTTCCGTCCAAATCCCGATCATCCTCCGTATCCAGGGAGAGTGGTTTATGAAACAGTCGGTGGTCTACATTGCTCCTGAGACCTGACCATCATCACCAATATTGAATTCAGGCCCCCATATCCCTAAACCCTAAACCCTACCTTAAACCCGAAACCCTAAGCCTTATCTCTAGACCTGACTTGAAATCCTAAGCCCGAAATGAATTGAGGAATCAAAGCCCACCTTCTGCCACTCCCGCGATGGTCGCCCGAGCTCTTGAGGCCTTTAGGGGTTAGGAGTTGGGGAGTTTGCTGGTTTAGGGTTCGAAGCACGGTTCAATCCCAAAAAACTTTCCTAGAAGGTCCTATACAAGGGCTAAAGGCTTTGTACATGTGAGATTTTGCTCTACGGTGATGATGCCTAGCTATTCACGGTTGGGCTTACCGCTTCAGGTTTAGGGTTCTGGGGATCAGCACTGGGGGCTTGGCATAGGGTTTACGCCCTATGGTTTTGTGCAGGGCGTAGGCCTTAAAACAGCCGTCAGTTACACCTAGGTGCGCTTTTCTTCGAACGGCAAAGCCCTTCCTCGAACTAGACCCCCCTTCCCCCAGACCTTGAAGAAACCGCAAGCCCTAAAGCCCTATGAAGCCCTATAAGTTCTCAACCTGAAACCCTACCATCAAAGAGTCTTGGGCTTCTCGGGGTAGCTGCAGGCATCGCTGGCAGCAGTGGGTTGGCAGCACCTGAAGGCCGAACATGGGGGGCGTACCAAGGGACGAAGCTCTCTTGGAGGGTTCGAGGTGATGCAGAAAGAGATCATTAGAGCCTATACTTGTCATTAGTGTTATGGTCATGTGTGTTATCATTATTGTTATTGTCATGTTTGTTACCAGTATTACACATGTTGTCATGAGGTTTTAAGATTATTGTTCTTAGTATTGTTTCTACAGTCTTGTTGGTCATGCGTACTTGCTGGTTTTTTGTTGTAGGAGCAGTCTGTTGAGTAATGCTGGACCATCATATCTCGAGACCAGGAGGTCCCAAGAGGCATTGGGGGGTGGCGTAGTTGAAGGAAGCGTTGCTGATTTGGTGAACCCTAAGCTTAGGGTTTAGGGTTTGGGGTGATTTTGTGAACCCTGACAGGAACTTAGGGTTCAGGGTTTAGAGGAGTTTGTGAACCCTAAAGCCTTGTACCCCTTCAAACGGAGCCTTCTTCGAGCTATTCGGGCCCTTTTAATGCTCGACCCGGAACCTCAGATCCGGTCATGTCACTTGCAGTGCCCTTTAGGTGGAGGTCCTTCCGTCGCCAGATCCAGCCGTTGCGGCGGCCCCAGAAGGGGAAGCTCAGCAGAAGAAGCATTTATCGGTTTCGGTTTCCGTAGGTTGCCGCATGAATTGCTGCTATCTAACTAAATGCCACCATAGTCTCGAAGAGGTAGCTTAACACAGATACGAGAATGCACCCCCCAAGGCTCTACTCTAGCCATGAAGGCCCCTAGAACTACGGTTACGGACCCGCTTTTCCAGCCGTCGGTCTGAGCTGGTGGGTCTCTGGACTTTGGCAGGTGAGTGTATGTAGTTCTCTACGTATGGGGTGCGTGAGGATGTACCTCGAGGGGAGCTTAGGGTTTAGATTGTGTAGATTCAGGCTTTCGGGCTTCCCCAAAATCAAGACGATTTAAAACCTGGAGTTCCTTCAATCCCCAGCCAGAAGCCTGTAACCAAGCCTGCAAACCATGAATCTGTCAACCCAGCCTTCAGACTCTTGAGCGCCAAAGTCCCAAATCTCGAACCGTCAGGCTCGCATTCGCCTCAAAAGCCTCATACAGTATGGTCCTTGGGCCCAAAAGCCTAGCCCCCCTAGAGCCACAGGGGAAACCAGCAAGCCCTTGGGCCCTAAACCGAACCCCGAACGCCAAACTTGCGAAAAGCCACAAGCACCAACGGTTCGAAGTGCCTGGGCACAGCAGGCCGCAGTAGCAGTGAAGATCTCCGGCGCCGAGTTCCTTCTCAGGTGGCGCATTGCAAAGCCGTGGTAGCATGGGGTCGTAGGATGTAGGTTATGTTATTCTCTCATCATGGAAATGTAAATACATACTCGTACTGTCGCTCTGTATGTTTATGTTTTCGCCTTGTCGCCTAATGCTTTATGAGTACCTGATGTTGTCCCTTGACAAACTATACACCGCATCCTGAACAAGGATTAGGCAGGGATTCCAGTTTTGCAGCCCTTGAAGAGTGGGGGAGGGTTCGTTGGGGATCCACACCGCTACTTCTTGCGAAGTTCAATGTGTTAGGGCATCCAAGAGCTCAATCGCAATATAGCCCAATCGTAAACTTCATCGGTAAACCTGAACCCTATCTGCCCTGCCCGCCCCAAACCCGAAACTGTAATCCCTAAGACCTTAAAAAGCCCTAAACCCCAAAACCCCACTCCCCACCCCAAATGGCTGAGAGGCTTGAGCAGATCGGACAATCGGAGGGCGAGGGTGTGAGGCCGGGTGAGCTCATCAGGGCCTTTCCGATGGTGTTTGAAGAGAGGAGACGTTGTTCTTTAAAGAGAAGAAGTGGCAGAGGAAGTGGCAGTTTTGTGTTGAGAGATGAGGAGTTTGGTTTGAGTATAGAACTTAAGCCTTGAAGTTTGGATTTGGAGATATTGGGTTGATGTGCTTGAGTTTCAGCTTGACACTTGGATATTACACTGTATTGCAGAAGTGGGTGATGCGGGATTTGCATTTTTTGAGCCCTAAACCCAAAACTTACCCGAAACTCCAAAACCCTTAACCCTTGATGCGGCATTTGGTTTATTGGGATGGTTTCATTGGTTTCGAAGCCCAAGGCTGCGTACCAATGATGAGAATACCATGGACATCTTGAAAACTGCTGAATACCCAATGCAATGACTTGACGCGTCAAGATATAAAGGGCTCAAACTTTAGCTTTGTGTAAGCATCTTACAGCAACAGCACCATTAGAAATGGGAGCCGGAAGCCCGTCTGCTTCAACGAACACAAAGAGCCCTAGACTCCCTAGATGCAATAATAAAGTCCGGCGTAGAACACAGACAAATGCACATGCATATGTGAGAAACATACATATTGTCACACACATGTTGATATAGACATTCGGGTGTGTATTCGTCATGTATGCATGTCTTTCTGCCTGACTGCCTGCCTGCCTACCAGCCTCTGCGTGTGCGTGCGCGTCATCTCAAGTTTGGATTTGTGGGGCCCCTGCAGGTGTTGCGAAGTCGATGCAATTTAACCTTGAAAACTGGACACCTGAACCCTAAACCCACACCTATGCCCGAAAGCCTGAAAGCTAAACAAGCTCATGTAGGGGCTTAAATAATTACCTATAGAATTTTTTTGGGGGGGTCCTTATTATAATTATAGTATAATGGGCCCCAAAACCTTATTCTAATCAGGCCCCTACATCAATTTGTTGTTTTTATGGGATCCTTGGAAAGCAGCCTCTGGAAGCATTGTACCGACGAGGTCCCTGTGTCTGCTGGCTTCCGGTGATGGGGGCACCAACTGGGAGGCCTGCAAATTGTAAAGGCTTTAAAGGTATAGAGCTTAGGGTACAGGGTATTTAAGTTTAGGGTTCGGAGTTTAAGCTTTGGGGTTTCGGGTTTAGGGTTTAGGCTTTAGGGTTTGGGGTTCAAGCGGGTTTTGAAGAGGGATTTCTGCTTTGAGGCTAGGCTATCAGCCATCGGGGTCGTGTCAACCTCGGGCGGTCGAGGCTGAGGGAACTTGCAGCTGAGGTCTTGGGCCGGCCGGTCCTTTCGGTGAAAAAAGGGGCATGAATAGTTGTGATTATAGGATAGGGTTTTGGACTATACTGCAGGATAGTTATACAGGACTATAAGGAGATGATATTGCTTGAGATTTGGATGCAGTTAATGGGTAGAGCAAGGTAAGCTCCTGGCTCATCGTGCCGGTATGGAAATGCCGCAAAGTGGCCCGTTCCATCCTAGAGTTAGAGGCAATTCCCAGAAGCAGTGGGTCTTTTTAATTCACCGAATCGAGCTGGCATGTAAGCTTCCCCCGTTTCACCAAAATCAAGTAAACCCCAAACCTGAAAGCCTAAACCCTACGCCCGAAGTGTCGAACCCTAAACCCTAAACCTTAAGACACAGGCTCTGGAAAGCCTCTTGCGAAGAAAGCGGTTGCACAAGGCTGGTTGCCACGGGATGCATAGCCGAGGGCAAAGTGTTAAGGAGTAGTATGGCAGCCTCAGCAAAATAGCAGCCCTTTTCCATAAGAGGGTCAAACCTGTAGCTTCAGGATTTTAAACCCAACCAAAACTAAAGCTCTTAATCTGAGGGTTCACTACCAAAGGATTGAGATGACACAGTCCACCGACCCCATGTTCGGCTCTTTCGTTGGCATTCCGTTTAGGGTTTGGGGTTTCGGGGTTTATGGTTGGGATCCATTTCCGAACTTTGCAGAGGTCATGGACACCTGAAGGGGATTAGAGCACATGGGGTTTGAGGAGAATCAAATAATAACGCCTCGAACCGCCTAGGCCGATGGTGACCGTCACTGCCATCACCCCAAGCAACCACAATCAACCCAAACCCTGGCCAAAAGCAGTTCTGTCCAACCCGACGCCGCTTTCTGAAGCAGGGCTCCTACGACCGGTATAGCCATAGCAACGAATCTGGGCCTGCTCAGACAAGTTGTGTCAGGTAGAACAATGCCGAATTACTTTGGTTCGTTACAGCCCGGAGCCAACTTCAGCCGCCATGTACGATGTACGGTCCAGTGTCGCCAGGGCCAGTAACTTGCCCCGCAAACTATGATTCAAAGCTTCCTTTTCAGGGAAGCAGCCAAGTTCGTCCTCAATGACACTAAACCAAAGCACGCTTAGGCTAAACTGACTGAGCCCTAACAGTTTGTGTAAGCTGAGCCATGACAGGGGGGGGGGGGGGGCGNNGGGGGGGGGGGGGGGGGGGGCACTTCTGGCGAGGTGGTGAGGGCAGCGCCGATCGCGACGCGGACCGTGGAGTTTGCGCCAGAGGAGGCTTTCTATTCATGAGGTTTCATGTTGGCCTTCGAGATCTCAAGCTTGGCTTTGAGGGATGTGGGTTATTTCTTTTGGGGATGCTTGACTGGTGGCGGCTGGAAGCTTAATGCTTAAACCATCCGAAACTGCTAAGCTCAGATTTGTCGAGGGTTTTCAATCCGCATCGACCGCTAAAGCTTCTATGTCCAGAAGCTCACCTTTTAATTATGGGACTTAGCAAGTAAGTAAGGTCATAAGACGTTATCAGTAGCTCAGTTAATGAGCAAGCGTACGTAGACTTGTTTCCTGCATAACCCTAGTTACTAAGTCCCAACGGTGTCAGCCTCTCATTTCCGTGATTGAAATCGCAAGCTTCCACTTAATTCCCAATCCCTCTATCGAAGCTTCCGATGCAAATCTTGCTGTATGCGCAGTGCCCTAACCCTGACATAGACTCCTCGGTAGCAAGATGCTCACTCTACCAACACCCTATACAGGAAGCCCGGCAAGTCTCTCGAGGTCGCCCCTGGGATGTTTCACTCAAGGGTCAGAGGGAGTTTTAGGGTCTAGGCTTGGGGATAGGGTGTGGAGTTAAGGGTTCAAGGGCTCAGGACCAGAGGGGTAAAGAGGTTTTGGCATCAAGAGGGCTTGCGACCTCCACCCGGCACCTGGGCTTCACATGTAAAGCCTCCTTTGTGGTGGAGGCCCAGGCCACATCGCCACTACAAAGTGGAGTGGCTGCCAAGTATCAGCCCAGCTCTCAGAATGTATATAGGGCGTAGAGTCTAGGAGTCCAGGGTTTCTGGGTTTGAGCGTTCTGGATTTGGGATTTAGGGTTTAGGGATATTTTGGGTTGAGGGTTTAGGGTTCAGTAAGGGCTGTTCGACCTGAGGGCATTGGTTTCCTTTCAGGGGTGCGGGCTTCGGGTGTAGTTTGTGTCCGCTGATTTCGGGGTCACGGTGACGGAGCCTGAGATTTGAAGTGATGGTGGTATCCTGTGCGCTTTCCCACTCCGAGCCAAAGAAGGATGAGAGCTCCCAGCAAGAGCGACATGAACCAAAACCTTACATGCATCTCCAGAGCCCTACATCCCGAAGGACCGTGCGAGCAGTTGTACCCCAGATCCCAACCCCCCGAAGCCCAAATCAGGCCCCAAGCGTGTTATAAACCTTTGTGCCGAATCCTTCCTTTGATATTTAGCCTTACTTCCGCTGAGGCCAAAGAGTCTGAGCTTGGCAGAGTGGGCCCAGCACGTTTGCTGGGGGACCGAACTATTTGATCCCACCGCTGCAGGGCTGAAGTTTTTGACAGGCTGGCCAACTTGCCGCTGCAGCCTCCTTCGTGCAGGCCTCCCTGAAATATTGGGTGACTCGGACAATTGGGAGTGTCTAGGGTTCTTTATAGGGATTTACAGAAATTGTCTTAAGGGCTTGCAGTTGGAGGTTTCATGAGGATTTGCATAAGGTTTGAAGGATTTTCTAAGCGGTTGTGTCAGTTTGTGGATCCAAACACTTACATAGATTAGATCCATGTCCGCACCTCAGATCGCGAACCTTGAGTACAGTAGAGCTGAAGCCCAATAGGTCAGAGAACCAGCATCAGCCTTGCCTGGAAGTTGCACAAGCTCGGGTCAGAGAGCTGCTTGTTTCCACCTTAAAGACTGGCTCTGCGTGGTTGTTGGACGCTTTTGGTGTCGACGGGTCTAGCTTCACCCGGCGAGTGTAAACCATAAGGAACGGAAGGATCGTGCATCTGCCATCTTTGATGCAGTTTCCGGGTTCTTGGCCCTCTAGGTTTGGGCATGTGCGGTATCATTACCTGCATACTCCCGTTGCGGTGATCGGGGCCTTGTCGGTGCCTCGATAGAAATTTGACTCGGAACAGGGTTTGAACCCGATAGATCTACATCCCTAAAATATCTGTCAAACCTCGCGCCCTGAATCCCGAAACCCCAAAAACGGACCGACACCCTGAAGACCCTCCATCCCTAGGGAGAAGGATTCCCACTCGCCCTGCAGGGTTTCCAACCTACAACGACCGAAGCCGACTACTGATCGGCGTCTGGGAAAGCGCTGGGAAGTGTATTGGAAAGCTATTTGACTAGGGCTTCAAGGGTTTAGGGTTAATGCGATTGGGGGTTTGGGTTTTTCTTCAGTTAAGCGTTCGCTGTTGGGAAGTTGTTGGCGAATTTCAGGGTCGAGGTCGAGGTTTTGGGTGGAGGGTATTACGGGGATTGGGATGACAGGGGTCAGGAACACCCGAGAAAGCCCAAAAGGCACTAAATTCCCGTTGGCTGCTGATGAGTTTCGGAAGACTCATCACCCTAAACCCCTACTTAAACCCTAAAAACCCTAAACCCTGATTCAACCCTTAATGAAAGCCCTAAGCCCAGAATGAAGCGCTCAGCGAGGCACGTACTCCCAGGGCAGCCCTCGGCTGATTCCAACTTCTACCATCACAAGGCCCCTGGCTCACTGAAGCAGAAACTGCTTGATGAATGTTTAGGGGTTGGGGGTTTGAGCTTTGAGGGAGCACCCGGTTTGAGGTGTTGTTTTGTCGTTGTGGGGTCAGTGTGCTGCAGGATTGACTCGAGGCTTGGAGGTGTGCAAGAAATAACACTCATGTGCCTCAGGTGGCCGAGCCGAGCTCGTGCAAGTTGTAGAGCTTGGGTTTAAGCCTTAACCCTAAACCCAGTTTAAGGTTTTGGAATGCAGTGTTTGGACTATTCATGGGGCCCTCATGTGTAAGGAGCCCTGGAGCGAAGTGGCCACAGCAGCAATGAAGGGTTGACCCATCTTTGTCATTGAGGCCGTTGTTTACACCATGTGTCCACAAGTTCCACCGAAGGTAAGGAACTGCAGGACTTGACCGTTTCGAGCGGGCTTGTGTTTTCAGGCCCTACGAGTCTTACCGGTCCCAAGGACATGAAGCCTTAGCATGGGGATTTGTAGGGTTTCGTCATGGTTCAGAAGTGTTTAGGGTTTTTAGGGTTCAGAGTCGTTAGGCTTCATGGCTATCTGCCCATCCCATCTGAATGCTGTTTGCGAGAATTCCCGTCGGTACTTCGACGCCTTTGGTTTTACTCTCAGGATTGTATGTTGCTGTGATGTTAATTTCGAGGCTTTATGCTCGATGCCAACGTCCCAGACTTGACATGAGATTTCATGGGAGTCTAAGGGCTTGGTCTTTTTATTGGTAAATCGGACCTGAGTTTAGGACACATCCGAAAGCACTTACAGTCGAAGGTGCCTGCCGCGGCGGCCATCTCATCACATCGATAGCAGCCGAGTGTCTTCCCGAGATGCTGGAAGTCAGCTCCGAAGACTTCAGTGGGCCGCTAAAACGGTGCAAGCTCTATACGTTCATGTCCTAATCCATAGTTATAAAACACTATAGTGTACTATAACGTACTATAAGAACTACTCTGATAGCAACCATAACATACTGCAATACCTAATTCTACCAGGACTGGAGCTTTCGAGCTGGGCTTCGGTCAGTCTTACAGTTTTCGACCTGGACTCCATGTTCCATTGGCTCCCTCCTCTCCGCCACCATGGGGCTCGACTCACGGGTATTGGCCCGAGGTTTGTACGTTTTGGGACTCATGCTTATCTTCTGGGAAAGTTGGGGGCTTGAGATGCTGGGTTTTTTACACTCAACAGCGGCTTTCAGGCTGTATTTTTGCCGGCGTGTTCTTCTATCCCAGATCTCGTTTGAATGGTCCAGGGTAGACGCGTGTATCAGAAAATGAAAAGTCGGAGAAGAACAGCGGACAGAGGCTTGGTGGAAAGTAGCTCACAGGGCCCACACCCGATCCGAGCCACCGTGGCAAAGAAGGCGATGCGGAGGCTTGTTCTGAAGACCTTAAGACATTCAGCCTGAAACGCTGGATTTCAAAAATCACAATGGGACCCTGGCTTTCAGAACAACTCCTGCGTGGAGGCGCCTATGTCCGGTCTCCACCCCGCAGAGGGTGGGTTGTTCAGAATCGGTGCTTTTCTTCGCGGAGGGGGGTTCCATGCGTGAGGTTTTCGGAGTGGGACTCGGCAGCTATAAAGTCTAAACTTTAAACCCCAAAGTCTAAACTTGTTAACCTTGAAACCGAAGCCATATATGAGCCCCTAAACCAGCCAAAGATAGCGAGCACAGCTAGCTTTCGCTTTGCAGTGCAAGGCCCGCCTCCACACCGAATCCTTGCGTGGGGAGCGCTTAGGCTTAGGGTTTCTCATAGGGCATTCGTTAAGGATACGGTATTGGGTTTACAGGGATCAGAGTCTGCCGAACAGCCCCAGGGCATGATAGCTGTTGCACTGCGATCTCGAAGCCCTGGAACCGATGGCCCAAAATACCGCAAGTCCGGAAGACTACAACATTGGGACTTGTCCAAAGCAATAAAGAACAGTCTGCAGTTTTCGGAGGAAGCTCTCTTTGAATCTCAAGTATAGGTTTGGGGTGACAAAAGTTAGCTTTCTGACTTTCTCGGTGACAGTCGGTTCAGCATGACTGTTCTGTGCTGTGCTAGCATCCGATTTCTCACCGGAGCCCTGCGATCGAAGCCCCCCGAGTTGAAAAGCCGTTCCGCTTTTCTGCGATGTGGCGCTTCAACCGCCACCTCTCCGGACCCCTGCCAATGTCAAAGGGAATCGACAAAAAAGATTCTAAAATCAGGACGTAGAGTCAGAGCGCTTTGTGCTTCAAGATTGACTTTGATTAGGTTTAGGTTGCATCTGGTTTTGAAGTTTCGGCATCAGGGCTCCGACACAGGCCACGCTTGGTCCCTCAACATCCAAGCAGCAAGGCCCACGTTGCAATGCAGACACTAATCACGTTACTCGTCTGTTTGGATGCTTCAGAGGCAGCCTGCTGTTGATCCACAGGGGGGCACCTGTACGCATTTGTGAGTCATGGCGAATCGCCTTCCGTGCCCGGCAAACGGGAAGTACAGTGTTGATGTCATGTAGGATTGCATATGTAGACGCCCAATACGATTGTCCTGGCGATCTTGCTTCGGTTTTTTTTATTGTCGGCATCTGAAGATACTCGTGCGAGTCTGTAGTTTCAGCAATTGCATGTGAGCCCAAGACACCCCTTGAATCTGCTTGAGAACAACTGTCGGCAGTGAAACTCTCTCCCGCTCTCCAGCCGCTTTGTGTTCACTCCATGGGGCTCGGTGGTTCTCGGCGGTCTCTTGTACGAAACTGCCTGTGGCACGATAAGTGCTGCAAGCGAGCATGCTAAACCCAAGAGCTTGAATATCGCGAGTGAGGAATCCTGTAAAGCTGAAGCTTAGCCTTTGCAAGGTCTTCAAGGTTTCAGGCTTCGGAGTCCTCTAGTTGGGGCTTGGCAGATTCGGGGTTCGATACCCAGTGCCTGCGGCTGGTTGTAGCTCTGCAGACATCCGATGCCACCTGCGCATGGCGTCTTCAGACTCGTGCCCTGGCTCTGACGGTAGGGTTCAGCGGCTTGGCTCCGCTTGTCATCTTAGGCCGCGGGACCAGTCGACCAATTAATGGTCTTTTGGGAGCTCGTGTTTTGCAGTTTTGCGGTCTCTCGAGTTTCAAGGCATAAGATTTGCGGGTTGGCGAACACGGACGATCCATAGTTCGTAGCTTTATTGGCGAACTACTGGTGAGATCTCTTGGTGGTAGTCCAGGCATGAAGGAGCTTTGGTCTATAGAGTCGACAGAGCCCTTGAAGTCGATCTTGTCTGTAAACTTTGTGTTGCTTCTTTTGCTGAAGGCGATCATGGCAGAAACAACTTGAGCCCCGAAGCCCAATCCAAAATCCAACATAGGCTTCCATTCGCAACTTCTGAATCCCCGCAAATGCCAGGTGGTCTGAAGTAGAGCATGAAGTTGAAGAGGCTTCGAATGCGGAGGAGACTTCCCCATCTCCTTGGTCGGTTGTGGTCGTGGGCCTCAACCGGAAGGATGTTCAGCATGCCGAAGACGAAGCCCTGGCGGTCGCAGAAACCGTCCGAAAGTACGGACTCTGCCGCAATCCCATCGTCTGTGTCGGCCGTAAAGCTGCATCTAAGACACAGATCCGGGAAGCTTTATGGAAGGCTGCGAGCTCCTCCGCGTCGAAGCTTCTGTTTTTCTTCGCTGGGCATGGACAGTCCGACCAGGGCGACATGACTTTGCTGGAGCCGGCAGATGCTCCAGAGACTGCCGATGACCAGGACGACGACGTCTCTTCCTGGGTTGCTTTGGAGGATGAAGTTTGGTGCGCCGTGAACGGGCGTGGTTTTCAACACCTGACTGTTGTGACCATTTATGCGATCTGCCGCGCACAAGCGTATCCAGCCAATCTTCCCGCTGATCCTGTGGACCCTTTTCCGTCACAAGACAAGAGCATAACTTTCTGCGACGTTTACCTCTGCAAGCATGACGAGATGCTCAACGACGTTCAGTACTTTGCGAGCGCTTTTGAGTTCTACATGTCCTTGGGAATCCCCGATCTGCACAGTCTTCTTTACAGGATCAGAGCAGATCTTTTTTACTTGACTGTCGGGAAGGTGTCCCTGCAGATTGTTGGCGTCGAGAAACTTGTGTGGCTAGAGACGAGGGGAAGCTTCAAAGACCCGGAGCCAAAGCTGGAGGAGGGCCGTGAACTCGAGGCCTTGCAACGGCCCATCTTCTTGTCCCGATACCTGGACAAGCTGGCGAGCAGCTTGGATGAGTTTCAGCTGTCTCTGCATACTTCTCCGGCATCTCGGAATCGCTTCCGGGTTTCTCGTGAAACTTCAGTCCCTCGTACCCGTAACCTTGCGTTCCCGAGTCCTACCCGGCAGACATGATTCGCAACTTCGGTCCCGGAGCCCGTAAGTATGCCATGGCACACAAAGTTAAATCCCTGCGAGGCCAAGAGATGGAAACAAGTTTCCAGGATACGCGTGCCACCATGGCGGCCATCGCGCGACAGCTGATGAGGCTCCCACATGACACAGGGCACCTTCGTACCGAAGAGGAGTTCCGCAGCCTGCACTTGCTCAGCGCTTTGAACGGGTTCATTTTGGGTGTGACAATCAATTGAAGCCTCCGGTTAATGACTGAAGGGACACGATTTTGTCGTCCAGCGTCTGGACAGTTCTGTGGATCATTCATGGCTCGAGACGAGCAAGGTGCGCTGGTGCACTTGTCTAGTGCCTGATGCTGAGGCAAACGGAGATTCACGGTCGTTGTTTGAAGTTGTCTGACTGTATATTCCTGGTGCGGTTGGGGGAGCATGCTATCAGACGACGCATCACAACATGCATCAACAACTTATGCTTATGATATTTGTTACATACTTATATATTTCGTAAATAGAAAAAAGAATATATATGTATATATGTTGCCGTGATAAGCAATTCCGGATCCCAGGCTGGAATGTATTCGTGCCACGAGTTATCTTGGTGATGTGTTTCGCTGGCTGAGAGGCCGCGAAAGTCCTCAAGGTTGGGCAACCCCGAGACTCAGCAAACGTCCTCTCAATCCTACACACGACCCGTCCTTCATGCAGTAAACGGGTCTATTTTCTTGCAGTGGTTTTGGGCTGTTAACTGAGTTGTTGAGACTGCGAGAGTAGTTCAGGTGCTGCCATGTCCGACGATGACCCTGGAATAGTTTACCCTGCACCCTTGCGATCAACTCCATGTTATAAGCGACCCATGTCCTGAAACCCAGAGAGGAACTGAATCCCCAAATACTTTTCGTTGGGCTTGGCTGGTGCTTGAGATATGCCTGCGAATGTGGACGTGTAACAGAAGTTTATGCACTTCCGTAGCAAACACCTTCGATCACACATATTCATTCGGCAAGATGTTTTCTGCAGTTTCGGAGCTTGTTCCAATGCAGAAGTGTCACCTGAACCGCTCATAATCTCCACGAAACCATCGTTTCCGAGAGTGCGTTCTGCTGCGAGTGCAGCAGCTTGAAGTTCGGCAGCAATCGCACTTGCCACAAAAAAAGCCCTGAGTGGCTTGCAGCTGCCTCAACACCTGATATCTATGCATGAGACAAGGCACAACGTTTGGAGACTTGAGCCAATGACGATGCTATCTGACATACATATATAATGTATACCAACACATTACAAAAAGCAAGCTTCAAATCGTGAAGTTATGTCGGTTCCGGCTGTAAGTCATGCCTGCTATGTGCAACTGCGCAGCATAAGCTTAAAATTGCTTGTGGTTATGTCGGAGACTTTTATTACGATCTTCCTGAGCGCACATAACATTGGGGCAGCCTAGGTCTACGTAGCGTGCAAGCAATCTGCAAGCCAACATACTTCGCGACAAGTTGCGGATTAATTCGCCGAGCGTTTCCAGCCTCATCAGCAAGAGCTCCCCAAGCCAAGCAGCCACGGCTGAGTTCAAGACTTTGAACTGAATCATTGTCATTTCCACTTCATGCTTTCAGGCTGTGATTTTTAGGGTCGCGTGGGCTGCAGCCGACAGGTCGTGATGTGACTGTTGGAGACGTACCTCCAAAATGCCTGCTTGACACGATAGCGGAATCCTTGCTGGAGGTCGTACCGGACAGCTCTAATGACGAGCTCATAGGCCAGAGCCTCTGTGTAATCGGTAAGGTGCCAGGCCTAAAGACCTAAAGGCTTCCCGAGTTGGTTTCTCCATTTGGACAGAAAGCAGTCCCGTTGCCTAGCCCTGCAGGCTTTGTCCAGCACTTCATCGAAGTGATGCGTGAGTTTACTCGGCGCTACCGCTTGGCCGACCTGCAGACCTGTGAACGAGCCAACAGCGAATCTGCCGGCAGCGGCAGCAGCGCTGCCGGCAGCACGGGAGCAGTCGCTGCTTGCGTCGGTGTGACGGCAGGGCTTTCTGGTGGTGGTGTTGGCTCGGTCCCACTGGTCTCAACCAATGCTCGGAGACATGCAGCTGAGTCAGCTGACACTCGCCCAAGGCGGAGTGTGCGCTACGTCTTCAGGGTTCCAAGAGTCGAGAATGTGTCTGAAGCGGACAAACAAGAACTGTCCGAATACATTTGTTGCGTGCTGAAACAGCTGAACATCCCCGTCGCTTGGCTGTGCTGTAATGGTTGTAGATTGCTAGCTTGGTGCTTTCTTGGTTGATGCAGCCTACACGGTCCGATATGTTCAACTCTGACCTGTTTAGTTAGCATACTACCTCGAACACTTTTTTGACACCTTCGCCACCAATCTGCGAACTGCACCTGAAGGTTCAACAGGTCTGTTTCATGCGCGGGAGCCTGCTGATCTTGCTTCTTGGATGATCTTCAGATGTAGAGTTCATCGCTGGATGGCTACGCCACGCAATCAAGCCATGCCCTACAAACCCGGGACAGTGGAGTTGCTCAGTTTGACTTCGATCCTGAATCATCCGGTGCTGAGCAAGAGGCTCGGAATGCGAAGCTTGAAACGCACCGACCGCCAAGTTCCCACTCTCACACATCCGAATCCGAAACTCGAAATTCGCCACAGAGTTCGTTGATAGCCGAAAGCTTACTGCCGAACCTTCCCTGAAAAACGACAAGGCCCGGCGACGAGAAGGGCAGCCCAAACTCTTGAGAACCTCAAGCATTAAGCTATCCAAGGCTCGTGACCCCATGCCCTGTCGATCGGACCCAGCTGCACTCCTTCCAGGGAAAGCTTGAGGCGCCACGCACTTTGGGTTCATCTCGAAGCAGGGCTCGGTACTTTGTTGGTTTCTCGCATTGAGATGTGGGGCTTTGGGCGTGAGAGGTCGGCTTGTCTGCGTGCAGTTGTCGGCGAGCAGGAATGGACATGGCGGAGGATGGAACTGCATGCCCCTCATTGGCGTCGGGCGGGCCGTCCCTACTACATGGACTTTACGGATCTTCCTGGCAGGGCTGCTCAACCGTTTGGGATGAGATGCATCCAGTTGAGTTTTCACAGACAGCATATCAAGGACGCATCTCGAACATACCAAGCTGTAAAAGAGCTCAGTGGTCAGCTTTTGCAACATCAATGTTAGGATGGGTAGCATATGGGGTTCTGGAGAACTGAATCCTGATCCAGGGAACCAGAAGCAGCTGGCGTTCGAAATGCTGCCCTTCTTTCAGACAGCTGCCCTACCGATTGCCTGGAAACTCGGCCGTATCCGCTTGCATTTCGTTTGTGCGGAGGGTTGACGTTTGGGATGTTGCATAAAGCCGCCTATCCCGTGCTCATCCTGCACATGTATTTCGTTTAAGGGCACGGTCTTCGCCTCCACGTCGTGGTGATGTATATGCCTATCTAATTCCAGACATAGACTGCACCCAGCCGGCTCTCAAACCTGTCCCGTGACTTGATAACATGCATGGCCTAGGACTTGCGGCCCGACATGCCAGACTCCACTCAACCCCACATCGTGTACAATTTCTATCCCTTGTGGCCTCGCCTTCAATGCCGACCCACACAGCTCAGTTTCATGTTTGCCCGCAAAAGCCCAGGATGAGGGCAGAGGATGTTCGCAAGTTTGCAGCGGACAGACTTGGCATCAAGCCTTCAGCAGTGAGCGTTTTTGAAGATGAGGTGCAACGAGGTCGCTTGGTTTTGTTGTGAAAGACTCGCCTCACCGATCCGAGATAGCTTCCCTGTGTAGCTACTATCCCAACTGATACCTTCACTCCGCAGTTGCGCGATGCATGTCGGATTACGGTGTTGAACCACGTGTTCAGGCTTTGAACCAATATTAATATTGGCACCGAGGCGTGGGACAGTGGTTGCATGGAACCGGTCGTGTACATGTGGTGGTGGCTAGATCGGACTGGCATGACCTTTTAAATCGAGAACCAGCGCAGTCGCGCGAACTGCTGATGCAGCAAACTCACCGCAGCTGGGGTCAGGGATCATTTGGAGACGACCTGGAATTTCAAGCGGGTGCAGTTATTTTGTGCGGGTGGCTGGCGAAGACGAACCCCTCTGTCCCCGACAGGATGTCACGACTCGGTGGCGTGTGTCGAGCTCGGACACCGAGACAGTTTCTCGGAGAGGTGTGCATCCTCGAAGCCAGAACTATGCAGAGAGCTCGTAGATTCTCCGAGCGGCTTCTCAGTACCCGTTGATCTCGCGTCCGACGCTTTCGCTGAGATGGCCGCGGCCCTGTGCCATGCCGTGTATGATGAGGACGCTGCGAGGGTGTTATCGCCTACACAGGCAGCCGTCGTGCCGATCCGCAGCCAGTTGGCCAGACCCGTTCTCGTGTACGACCACAAGAGCAAGACCAGCCATAGAGTCGAGGCTGACGAGGTGTTGAATTTTATTGTAGGATGTAATGCTGAGAGAACTCTGGTGGATGTTTATGCTGTGGCATGGCTTCCGGGGCTCTATCCCCATCAACGTCTGGCCCAGAGGCAAGCCGTCCGGAGTCTCCGGAGTGGCCATGCCTATAGCATCCTCATGGATTTTCGAAATGAAGTCGTGCTACAGGAGGAGGTGGCGGCAGTTGCAACGCAACAGCCGGTAGACGTGCTGTATGCCACAAACAAATGCCACCGTGCAAGTCCGGTGCGGTGGCTCCTGGCAAGATCGCGCCGCGTGCTTTACGCTGCCTTCCGAGGGACGGATTATGCGCAAGATGCTGCGATTGACCTCAGCGCCGTGCCAGATTTTCACATTTTCAACGAGCACGGCATCGGGGTACACAGTGCGATCGCCCACGCCCTCGAGCAGGAGGGAGATGAAACGAATCATGTCGTGCGTGATGTTCTGAGAGCTTTGGAAGAGCATCGTCAACCTGAAGAGCGGCTGGTCCTCTGTGGACACTCGCTCGGTGGAGGCTACGCCCAAGTAATGGCTGTCCACCTGTTGATTCGCAAGGTGGATGTCGCGGCCGTGCGAACCTTCGGTGCTCCGCATGTCCTGGTACCACAGCGTAAGTCTCCGAGGTTTTGGGAAAAGCTGCACTCGATCACCCAGCATTGGGTGCACGACTGGGACCCCGTTCCCAGGCTGCCCCTTTGCAAGACCTGGCTGGTTGATGTCATGCCAAGGCTCAAGCTGGAAGTTGTCAAGGGAATCAGAGTTGGAATTCCCGCCAGGTGCGTTGAGCGACTTCGGCAGGACTGCGACAGAACTAAGTCACTTTTGCTGGAGAAATACGATGTCGTGGGCAAAGTCGTCTTGGTGAGCCTGGCGCTACCCAGGATGTGGTATCACTAAGACCACTGCTTGATGAAACGCCTCCTGGGTCGATCATGACATTCAGCAGGCTTTTTGCTTATCACAGCATGGAGGACTACTTGCAGATTGCTCGGAAGCTGACTTCTGCATGAGCAAGTCCAGCGCAAAGACGCTTCATCACGCTGGTGCGGGTCCTCTGTCGTAAAATCGTGACAAGAACCAACCAGATACAAATGCAGCCCAAAGTTGGTGCTGACAGAATGCTAGGAGGGTCTGACTCGGGCTTGTAACCTCTTACTCATTTAGAGCCTCGCTTGGACTGAGACACGTTTCAGTGTGGTGCTGTAGGAATTTGGAAGCTGCGGGACCGTGAACCCTCAACAGCAGCCAGTGCTTTGCGTTGCCCAAGCTGCTGCTCAATCCCTAAGCATTCGATGACCGCCGCGGCCGCCAGCTTTTTGCATGCTTTTTCCTCCGCCACACCCACAACGGAACGACCAGCGTAGGCCTCGCCATCTCAACCCTGAATCTACCTTTTTTCCAACCGCCCACCCCCCCAACCACTGCCTGAACCTGCAGGCCTTGGGCCTTCAGACATCCACACTCCGCGAAGTTCAGAACACCAAAGCCCTATACAAGCCCTGAAGTCCAGCTGCGGACCACTCATGGCCACAACCTTGGTGGCGTGAGCCTGGCAAACGCGGGCACGAAGCCCAGAGAAGAAAGTTGGTGCCATGGAGGTGTCTAGTGAAAAGAGGAGCGGCTTCCACTTAGGATGGAACGGGCATCAGACACCATTGTTGGTGTATGTTACGTCAAGATCCTTATCCTATTATGATACAGGTCCTACTCTAGTAAGACTAAGATTATGTTGTTTCTCTTGACTGTTGGAAGCTCTCAGATCTGAAGCCTGAAAACGGTGATCAGTCCCTCAAATCCCCCGCCCTCAACTCTCGTGCCCATCTGCTCTTCGCTCATCTGCTTCAGAAGCATCCAATCGCGCGCCTCAGCGTCCGGAATGCTCGTCTGAACCCAGATAGCCTGCAACTCGAGTCCTGGCCCCCGAAGCCCTCCAATCCAAGCCTTCCACATCCTTGAGCTGATGTCAGACTTAACCCCTGAACCCTAAACCCTTTAGTTAGAGTCTCTACCACAGAGCCCCTTTGAATCCTGAACCTCTGAAGCCTTCGGCTCCAAGGGCCGCCAAACCCAAGCTTGAAAAGCCTCATCCCTCAATTCTTGAGCAGGAGAAAGCCACGTGACTGAGTTGATGTACTCAAAACCGAGGTCCTTAACATACGGATCCTGCTGCTCTTCGCTTTGTGTTGCATCTCTCGCGTTGAATACCCGATCGAAGCCTTGCAAAAAGCCCATGATTCATTAACGCAACTTCCCTGTCAACACATACTCGAGCAACCTAACCAGAAACCCGACAAGCACACCACGTTGTAGACCCGAAGCCCTAAACCCCGCGGCACCCAATTTTAGAAGGGTCCATGTACACAAACGGTAGATACCTTGATCCCAAAGCACCCAAATAGGGACTACCTTGAGGCCAAAAAATGTATTATTTGGGTACATGAACGATAAGGGTCTGAAATGATTTTCAGGTCGACCCGCGGCTCCCCCATGATCCCCGAGGGCTGCAGAGCTCCTCCGACCGATGTCGCCCCGGCAGACGTTACGGCTCAGGGTTGTTGGTTGTGCTCTTGATGTCTTAAGTTTTTCTGTGTTGGATGGATTTGGAGTTTTACTTGCTGTTTGAGGCAGGATTTTACTTAAGTGTGTTATGGCTGTTGGTGACTTTATGCTTTTTTGGGTGTGTTGGTGCTGGTTCGGGCTTTCTCGTATGCTTCACGGGCTCGGGTTTGGGGGTTTTGCTGGTTTTAGGGTTCAGGGCTTTGGGTGATTTAGGGTCGGTTTTTTTCGGGATCTGGGGGTTTGTTAGAGCGTCTGGCTTTCGGTTTGGGGCGCTCGGGCTTTATGGTGTTGGGCCGGGGCTTTATAAATTGAATGGCTTTGGCGCTTTAGGGCTTCGGGCTCAGGCCACTACTGTGCGGATCGCCAGAGTTCTAAGCTGAGACAAGAGCCTCGCGAATTAGCTGTCGTGCTCTTGTATAAAAGGGAGATATTGGCGAGGAGGTCTCGATAAATCAGGGAGTCGAGGAGGAATACGGCAACTTAGTGGCTGAATCCGCTGAAGTTGCAGCAACGAGAGTGTTCTTGTGGTCCAGATGCAGCATGCGCCCCTAACGTCAGCGTGTGCCCAATGTAGATTCTTGCTGGCTTGCATGCTCACATTGACTGCTGACTGGATTTCGGGGGGGGGAGAAGCAAGCTAACGATACAGACTCCAAGCTAGGGTGTGTTATAACAAGGGTGTCCACTAGGTCCCCCAAAACCATAATCGTGTAAGCCCAAAAAGCTTCTAAGTAGTTTGGCCCGAAAATGCCTGACCTGGGAGTCGGCTTTTGGGGGGCTCATGTCATGTAAGACCTCAGCCGTTTTCCGTTCACCTTCGGAGCCTTGAGCCAAGTTTCCTTGATTTTTTGTAAGGTTCCTACAAATTCGTTATGAGGGTTATAATAAGAGCCTACGAAAAACACGTGGGTTGTGGTAGTTTAAGGTCGACCCTAGACCTGACACCCTCGGCCTTAAGTACCTACACCCCCCTCAAAGAAGGTAAAATAGTCGCCCCACAGCCATAAAAGGCTACTATTCTACATATGGTTGGGGTCCAGGTAAGCCAGAGACCTCAAAACCCTGAACTGCAACGCGTTACTGTGGCCAGCCAGGTCCTGAAACTTTTGAGCCACCGACCCAGAAGTAGGCTTAGCGGGAGGCTTTAGGATTTAAGGAGCATTTCGGATTCTGTACCTTTGATCACATCAGGGCTTTAGGGATTGAGCAGGGTGTAGGCTTTTTACGTTTGAGGACATAATTTATAAGGTATGTGTTGGCTTTAGGGTTTAAGGGGGACCTACTCGGCATCAGGGGTTGGGGCTTCAGAGTGTTTGGACTTTGGGGCATTAGGGTCTAGTGTCTTCAGATGTTTAGGGTGTCAGGTTCAGGGTTTCGGGTTCGGGTTTAGGGTGTTGGAGCTATGGGGCATTAGGGTGCTAAGGATTAGGGTTTGGGGCTCGAGTGCTTTAGCGTTGTTTGAGGACTATTCTGTTTCGAGGTTCTGAGAGGTTAAGATGGGCTTAAGGCTTATAGGCTGCTACGTAACAGAGTAAAAGTCCATATTCGGGTAGCTGGAGCGCAAGGGAGACTTCTCTCGAGTTTAGTAGGTCGACTCACGGGCAAGCCATGCAGCTCTTTGAATGGCAAGTCGGCTGGTCCAACATGATTTCCGTCGGTGGGAAATTGTTGATTAAGTACAAATGGCGTGTATCCTTACTTGGTTGGCCTTGCGACCATCCTCTGAGGCCTTCTATCCTGTGCTCTTGCATATGGTGTCAAGCATATACCTTTGCATGCCTTTTCGTTTTCGTGAAGTCATGCTTGCTTGTCACATGTCGCTCGGTGGTTTGCCATGCTTCGGGCTTTTTTTCGAACCGGGCTGACCGTATCGACAACTGAAGGAATCAACGTTTGAAGCTTGAAGTTTCTGCCTTGGAAATTCGGGCCGGATGCCTCCGCGAGTCACTAATTTAGTTTCAGGCCGACCAAGAGTCAGACCTGAGACTGGATAAAGCTCATGCAGGGTCAAGGGATGGCCCTGTCAATGGATACCTTGAGGCTGCACGCTGATCGAATTGTAGTGGGGCCGGGTTTCGTACACCAGCCGCATGGTAATCAGGTAGTGTTGACTAATTTCATGATGTTTGATTTGATTCGATTGCGTTTCTACACATGCGGAAGCTACCTAGCAGGTGCGCCAGTGGTGCAGCGTGGGTTCTGCTAGCACACATACTTTCCCCAGGCGATTGAAGTTGATCAGCCAGTTGCAAGTCCCGAACGTTGAAGTCTTGAGGCCTTCACCGTCGTCCTCCCCCGCGAAAACCTCGATGATCTGGTGTGAACTCTAATCCTAAATCCCAAACACCAAACCCTGAACTCCATACCGTGAACTCGGGGCCTAGAAACAAATACGCTCGCTACCATGATTTCGGCCCTTGTGCTTAAGCCGGGTCAGGTCAGGAGTTCGACTTCCAGGAGATTTGCGAAGTCGGGGCCCCATCTCGGGGATTGTTGGGGTTTAATGACTAGAATAAGGTTTTGAGGCCCATTATACCATAATCTTGATATGGAACCCCCAATAGTGCTGGTAGTTATTTGGCCCCTCCGTTACCAGTTTCTTGGGGTTGGATCGGGATCATGGTGGTTCGAGCTTTTGTTGAGCTGCTGTTGCGGGCAGTCATTTCCACCCACAACACATTATGTACGTGTAAAAAATTACCAGATGATTTAGACATGACTGTGTGATGGATCCTGCAAATAGGATGGTTCCTGACGATTTCTGAACATTCTTCTGTGCTTCGTGAATTTGTCGATAGCCATTCAGAGGCACATCCGTCTTGCCCCTAACACGGCAGAGCAAATACCAGAAATCCTTATCCATTGGGTTTGTCATCTTGCCTCACCCAGGCGACCAAGAATTTCAGCTCGTCGAACCGATTGGGCGAGGCTCCGCTCCCAACACGGTTTTTCCCTATTCGGACATGCATGTCGCGCTTGGGTGTCAGATGCTTGTGACAGTGCGGAGGGTGCTGGGGCTTTGCGGCGTTGTGGCAGCATGTTGTGCTCTTGCGGTGAGACCCAAGCTCCAGCCGCTAAACTTTCCACTGCGCTTAGCTTGCCCCCGTTTTCCTTCTGCAGTAGCCAAGCACGATCATCCGAACTACTCGAAACCGCCCGAAGACAATCTAAGCCTCAAAGTCCGTAACCATCAAACCTAAACGACCTAGACCCGTCAGCCATAAAATTCTGAAGCATAAAGCTCAAACCCCAAGCCCTAAATGACTCAAGCCCCTTGCCTTTTGCCTGCAGGGCACCTACGGGACAGTATTCCGGGGAACCTTGCGAGATGGAACCGA